AGGGTTTACCCTATTGAGGAAAGCTGACTCTATGCAGGATTATGCAGCACTACCAGGAAATATTTGTCCACATGTAAATTTTCAGGTAACACATAATGTCATGCCAAAATATACTCCCGTGTACATATACGAATTGTTCGAAAACTTTTGTCTTGAACTCGCATAAAAATAGTCATTCTACAAACGAAACCAAAAATACTTCTTTCATGGACCCGGGTTTAGCCTAGTAGTTAGCGTGCCCGGACTGTGAATATTCGGATTCATGGCGTTGCAAAAACGCAACTTGTGATTTAGGACCGTGAGTGTACCATATATCAAATAAGGGGTGTGCACAGAAGGGACCGATCCCCCTCCTCCAATAAGTATGCATACGGACTCTGTCATTTTGGTGAGTGTGGTATTGTTTATTTCTACGCGTATTATGCGTGTGTCGATATGGTTTACATAATATTTCATGTGTGTGTGTTTAACTCCTTCCCCTCCCTCCTCCGATATCGGTCAAATTGAATTTTCTGCGCATGTCCCTGTTTAAGCTTCCTTATAGCCATCAAAATTAGAGACGGCTAAGCGCAGCTAGCTCTTATGTAGCTTTTTATTTTATTTTTTAGGGTTAATCTAGGACATATGTTCTCTCATGGAATAATAGTTGCTTAGGTTTACATAGTAGTATAATTGTTTTTGATTTAGTCAACTTTCGCAGTAACACCTTGAATAGTTTTTAAGCTGAGGAATTCTCAGTGCTATGGAGATTTTCTGAAGCCTACCAGAGTGATATTTTGTGCAAGAAGCACCTCTGGTTTCTTTTACATCCTGTACCTATAGACGTGAATCTCTGGATAACTCTTTAGTGAATTTTTGGATAATTCTATACTAGAACTCGGTATATTTGTAAAATTAAAGTGCATTAATACGCGCGCGCACGCACACACACACACACACACACACACACACACACACACACACACACACTTTTGAGCGTGCGCCCCGCGTGATTTTTTCTAAAGTTTTGTAAGAAACGAAACAGTATCATACTATTTTTAATATTTATAATTTGTTACAAAACATTTCGTACATGTAGACACTTAAAAATGGATTTCATTGATCGATGTTATTGTAAGATATTGTTACGTCTCTGTTCGTTAGTTGATTTTCCGTAACTTCGTTCCGACGAAACTTTAGCGACACAAGTCCTTTCTTAAATAAAACTGGTTTATTCTTTCTGAATATAACTTTGCGATACACTTAATTTCAACAGTCGCCCTATAATTCTCAACGAACTTCTCACGTGCTTAACAATATTCTCTCTGACTGCAGTTCAACTACTCATTACACTGTTCCCGTCACGTTGTGAACGTCTTATATATACACAAGACTAACACATATCTAGTAAATGCTAGGGCATTCTTGAAGGAACAGGATATTTCTAGAAAGGGGTAGCGTGATACTAGTCACGTGACCTCGCTGACGCAAAAATATTAACGTGGTTTTTATATGCTAGGGCTGTGACAATTGCTCGGATAATCGAATCCGATTTTCTTGGGAAACAGATTTCAAAGTCAGAAAATAGATGATCAATGTTCAGAAATAGAATAAGTTTCTTTGATTACGAAAGTTTTTCCCTGAACACTCAAACAAACCTTTAAATGACTAAATATCCAATTTGAATAAGTAGAGTTGTTTAAACAAGTAAAAGCTTGCAATGGTCTATTCTTTCATTGGGGTGTGTCTGTGAGCCAATTATATTGAATGATTACGGTATTTCGTACGTGTCACGTGACTTGTGACGCATGTGATTCGCACGCGCAGGGTTGCATTTTTAACAGTCATTCACCTAATTCAACATCAATTGACCAGCTAAATAAAAATCAAGAACAAATCCATGCAGACATTTCTAAAAAACGGTACAATACCTTCACTATATTGTTTCTATTTCTTAAGTCTGCTTATTTCTATACTTTCGTCATGTTTTCTAATGTTGGATTCAAAATGGCCGATGATTATACGATTCGATTTTATGAAAACTATTAATTTATTTGAAAACTTAAATCGTCACAGCCCTAATTCAGACCGAGCGGTTTGTAATGACAAAGGTATACATTAGAATATAAACATGTTATTATGTTGGTTATTTTGCATCGATAAATTTCTAAAAGTATTGTCTTTTATTGAAATATTTCTTCTAGTCTTCAAACGTCAAAGAAATAATCCCGTTGGCTACAGTCCCATCAGTATTTTCTGGCCTTAGTCGATAGATTTTTTTTTTTTTGAGGGGGTGGTGGTTCGGTTGTTACTTGGTTAATTAAGACTTAAAGGTTTTTTAATAAGATCAAGTCTACACAACTACTTAAAACTGTGTTACGCGGCCCTTAGATATGCAAAACCAGTTTAATTATTCTTAAAAACGAGATTGTTTGATCTTTTTTGAAAAAAGACGAAAATAACAATTATATTGTTACGTCTCCGTTTGTTAATTAACTTTCCGTAACTTCGTTCCGACGAAACTTCAGCGACACAAGTTCTTTACTTAATAAAACTGGTTTATTCGTTCCGAATATAACTCTGCGATACACTTAATCTCAATACTCGCGCTAAAACAACACTGTAACGAACGAACGTTAACTTCAACAATACCCTGTGACTGCAGTTCAATTACTCACTGTCCACCACACATTACATTCCCCTCTTTTATATACCAGCCTACCCTATCTAGCAAATACTAGACCATTCGCCAAGATACGGGATAGTTCTAGAAACAAGAGAGCGTGAGAATTGTCACGTGATCTCGATGACGCAACAATATAATACGTTGAACAATCGTTAAGTTTTGTTTTTATTTTTCTATTTAGGCTTTCTGATATTAAAAAAAGGTTATTTGGTATTTGTTTTTATGATGTTGAATCTAAACTCGTATTTTGTGCATGTATGCCTCTGAATGTATGTTTATGTAAACTTGTTATCTGTGTTAACTTTTTCTGCTTTATAACTTATAATAGACTATATCAAAATGTATAAGTCTATTTAGTGTTATGGTTCCAAAAATGTAAATCCAGAAAAATGTTACAAAACTATCATTTCCATGATTGTTCCAATAATGGTTTGATTCTTTGGTTAACGGGTCGGGCGTGTTTTACTCGTTAGTATTCTTGGCTGAGTATCGGAGGTCCAAGGTTGAAGTCCATGGTATGTTGTTAAATATGCTCTGCACTTTCAGCTATAGGTTCGTTATAAAAGTGACAGTCAATCCTGTTAAGAGTAGGTCTGTAGGCGATGGATACTACTGACTTCCTTCTCTTGGCAGCATTTTCAAACTGAGAACTGATAAGCCTGAACCGTGGAGTTGTTAGACCTGGCAGTTTAACCCAGGTTATGCATAAGATTCCCAAATGGTTGAAAATATCAATTATCAGTTAGTAAACAAGTTACGTCGTAAGTGTTTATACTTTCTATTTTGTTAATTTCATTTTTAAAATTATGCCCTGGCCATTGCATGTACATGTTCATAACTTGTGCGATAACGAGAAATAAGTTGGAGAAATGTACCGAATTTTTGAAAAAATCAGTTCAAATTGTAAGTTTCTAGGTTTCGAGCAGGATGAATTTACATGAATAGTGAAACTCCAAGTTTGAAGAAATATAAGACGTTTTTTAGTATAGTGAAAATACTGTAACTTGAGAATCGTGCATATCGTACTTCTCAAAGTAATACGCAATTCGTTCAAGGAACTAGAGAGGAAATCTCCTTATTACCTTCTAGTCTAGACCTAAATTGTCTTCAAATTAGGATCCATTAGGATCAGGATACAAAATTCTCTTCCATCACTAACAATTTAACAAAATTGAGACTTTTTCAGTTTAACATATTATACGAGAAATAGAAGTATTGATTCTTATTGACCCTGCAGGTGATCACTATGGTTATCACTGATTTGTTCTTATCATCTTAGTGTGTAATAAAGATGACGATATCTGACCCAGTGAATGGAACATTCCGTTGATGAACTTACCGGTAAGTCAGTGGGCTTATAATGCTAAAAACCGTGTTTCGATACTCGTGGTGGGCACAGCACAAACAACTTATTGTGTAGCTTTGCGCTTACCAATAAACAAATTGACGACATTACACTGATAGGTATGGATGTTCCTTTTAAATCTGGGGGCTAAAGAAATGAAGGAAGTTTTATGGATATAAGGACTCGCGCTCTAAGCCTAAATAGCATTAACTCAATCCCGAGATTTTGTGATATTCTGAAAAGGTTATTTGGTATTTGTTTTTATGATTTTTGAATCTAAACTCTTATTTTTGGTATGTATGCCTCTGAATGTGTGTTTATGTAAACTTGTTTTTATTTGTTAACTTTTTACTGCTTTATAACTTCTACATTTTGATATAGTCTACTGATTTGTGATACGACACTTTTATAAAGCAACACTTGTGTTTTGTTTCTTTTACACTGTAATTTCCATAATCATAATTTATGGTTAATGTGTTTACTTTTATGGTTTTCACTCTTTGAAATCACTTTTAATTCATACATCATGTGTACGTATAATGTGTGTGTGTGAGAGTATTTTATATCATTACTTTTTGTTTATTTACTAACTTTTATTGTCCCTTTCCAGTTTTTGAGTGTGCATATTAAGTTTTCAAGAAATGTTAAGGAATCGTCTTGCAGATAACCTAGTTAATGTACTGTTCTGATGATGATGACTGGGTGGTCCAGTTGAAACATGTAGTTTATTTAAATCTGATCATTTTGTTTTGTATTTTATTACACTGTTATAGTAAATCATGTATGCATTAAATAGTTAACCATTTTAAAGAAATTCATGATCTGACTAAAGAAGGATTATGCATATAACATTTGTATTATGTTTGTTTTCCTTGTGAATGTGTCGAAAATAGTTTCTCTAATAACAAGTCTTAACAATTTGTTTCATTTACTGTGATTTTCTTTAACTGTTAACACAAGATATTATGTTCTCTGTTTACTTCTCTGTAGGTTATGATCGCAAAATACCAAACCCTCTGGTGACGCTTTCAACACGTGGTGCCATCTGTTGCAGGGCTAATAATAAATATGTTTTTCTATGGAAATACCCTCTATACGCTTTTGCACATTGTGTTAACAGTGACTACAGCCAGGGTGACTTTTGATGAAATAAGTCGTTTGGGGCCCTCGTGCTTAAATTCGTGCCTTATTTATAACTCTAGGGATTCGAATAATTCCCTCACCTCAGAAAGTTGTAATTGTGATAATAAATGTGCTGAATATAGAGACTGTTGTCTTGACGCTGAGACCCTTAACCAACAACCCCAAGATAGTCCGTGGCATTGTATTTCTATAGATGAAGGTACTGGAGTGTTTCTGAAAGCTACATGTAAGCCTCAATGGCGAGGTGATCAAATGATTCACAACAGTTGTGAAAACACTACTTCAGATGTCCACTATGATCCGATGAGACAACTTCCAGTCACTAACCCTAACACAGGAGTGTCGTATCGAAACTACCATTGTGCTATCTGTAATGATGACACCAGTTATGATATGGTGTTATGGAAACTGCTGTTAAAATGTCCATATCTACACTTGTATAATATAACTCGACAAAACCTAACTGAAAAATACATACGCGACAATTTAGAGTACTACGATTCTCAGTGGGGCATCTGGTTAGATGGAGATGATGAAAACTTGCACTTTTATGGTTGTTCTATTAAACTTGTTGTGCCTGATGTCTTAAAATCAAATATTAGATCATGCGTTCGTAATCTGATTTCCGAATGTTCATGGAACTGGAATATCTCAAATGTCAGAGAAAAATGCAGATATTACACGAGTGTAATGTATAGTCAAGATAAAGCCTATAGAAATGTTCACTGCGCCCTCTGTAATTATGTGAATACATCTGAACTCTCTTGTTCCAAAACTGAGCATGAAATTGTCATGTATCGTAATTTTTTTCCAAATGCTTTTTCCATGCTGCTTGACGTCAATGAATACTCGGGAACCAGTGTTGGGATAGTAATACTCTGCAGAAATGGGGAAGTATTTGACCCATTCTTCAAAAAGTGTCGAAATATCGTGTGTGGGTTTTCCGGATATGAACCCAGAAACGGTAAGTGTGTAGCGTCAGAAGCGCAGCCGTCATCAACCAATGACCAAAACACAGTTTCAACGACCACGATCAGCGAGACAGACAACGATTGCTCTACAACCAATATAACTCATAAGAATGACTGTATATCATCACATCAAAATAAATCCGGAACGAGATCTGGATTATCACCAACTACCACAAACCAGTCGATTCTCTATGGATCTGATTTTCTCAGTTGTATCAAGGTTTCTTTTGACGAAGGCGAATATATCTTCTTGAATAATCAAAGCATTTACATCCCAAAATACGATCATGTGTATAACAAGTCATTTTATGTGGTTCGGAAACGAAGTATACTCGTGTGCGCAGATTATCTGAATCGAACTTCAGAGCAGGAAAAAAAATTCTCCATTTACATGGGTTATATTTCTCTCATTGGCCTTGGGATTTCTATTATTTGCCTTCTTCTCCATTTCGTGGTGTTTCTCGTGATTCCAGATCTTCATAACTTTGCGGGACGGAATCTGTTATCCCTAGCTTCTGCTCTTTTTTGTGCTTATTGCTGTTTCATCATCGGCCAATTAAACATTCTTTCCCCTTTGAAATGTACTGTTGTCGCTATCTTGACTTATTACTTTTTCTTAGCATCTTTTTTATGGATGAATACACTGGCTTTTGATGTTTGGAGAACTCTTCGGATTGCCACACAGGAACTACGTGTTTCGAGTGGCAACAAATGGCCGAAGTTTATAGGGTATTCTCTATACTCTTGGTTGAGTCCAGTTCTTTTAGTGATAGTAGCTATTATCATCGAACAGCTCGAGTATGTACCAGAGAACTACAAACCAGGATTTGGAATCTACCATTGCTGGTTTGGACACAAACGAGCCTTGTCGTTGTTCTTTGCCGCTCCTTTGGGACTGGTGATGTTGGCTAACGTGATTTTGTTTGTTTGGAGTGCAAGAATGATCGTTACTACATCATCTAATATAACTGGGAACCAGATGAAATCTAACCGAAAGAACTTTCGTTTGTACTCACGATTAGCTCTTCTAATGGGTCTTACTTGGATTATTGGCCTTCTTGCTGGTTACCTTGATAATGAAATTTTATGGTACGTATTTATTTTCTTAAATACTCTGCAAGGACTGTTTATTTTCATTGCTTTCTCATGCATTCCGAAAGTTCGAACAATTCTCCAAGCAAGATTCATTTCTGTTCTTCCAAAAGTATCAACTTCCAGGAGTCAGAGCATTAACTCTGGAATAAGTTCAGGATTGACTTCGCTAACTGTTGTCACATCAAAACAACCATCAAAATAATCTACAGAGGGACTTCACACGTTTCAACAACACTCTAACTGTTACTTCGTTGCATCGATAATTTTTTCAGTGATGACTGTGGGATCTTTGAAAATATTTCTTAAATATAGCCTTTTTTTAAAATTATTTGCGGTTTAGTAATTTGTCGAACTTGATGTACAACGATACATACATACATCCTATGTGTAACAAACGTGACCAATTTTAAATATAATTTTAAGGGAAATATTGTGATAAATAAAAGTATTATGAAATAATTTTGTTTCATTATTTCTAAAACGTAAACATTTTAGTCTTAAATATGGGACATTTGAAGAGCTGGTATTAGAGGTTGCATTATTAAAGCTTATTAACCTCACCACGGCCTACATTAATGTATCTTTTGTTTTCCTCCTAAAAAGTTTAGTATTTTGTTTGACACCGGAAAATATCTTTCTGAATTTTGTTACATGTTTTAAACTGTGGAATTAATATAGTGAGGAAAACTATACTTTTGTTGGTTTTTAACCATATGTTTGATTATTTTTTTTAAATTTGAAATTCTTAAAATATCCGTCTTTGTTTTAATTATGTAAAGTTGTATTATTACTGTCTTTCTGGACTGAATTGAAATTATCCAAGAAAATTATCTTTTAGATTAAAGTGTCACATTCTGTAATGATAAGTTATAAGAAAACCCAAGGTAGAGAAGGGTTTATAGAATGACCATATAAAACAGACAAGTAAAACGGAATAATGGTTGTTAAAGTATCTGTTCCATCATGGTATTCATCAATATCCTGTTACAAGTTTTGTTGCCGTTAGAATGACGCAGAAAGTACATAAAAACACGAATCTTTGGAATAAACCACAAGAGTATCCCTAAAGAGAACTGAAAAAATGTTGTTTGTTTTTTGTCGACTTTTTTTATACATCTCGGAGAAACTTGAAAGAAGTGTGCGCGCAGTCAAATAATTATTTTGGTACAAGTGATTTTATAAATGCTGTACATATTTTAATTATAAACTATGTTTTACTTAATACGTTCTCGGTGCTCTAACGAATACATCGATTGTGTAAAATGTTTCCATATGATATGTTCAAAAAGATTATACATTTGCTTAGTCCTGAAATATGAGAAATTCGTATACAATAACAACACAGTCCATTGTTTGTGTATGGTCTTCTAAATAATTCTAAAAAAGGATGTTGTATATTCTAGAAAAAACAATATAATCTAAAAACTTAAAATAATAAAATTATTGCTAGTACACTTGAATGCAAGAAGAACGGATGTGCTAAACGAAGACGCAATTACTTAACGTTTCGGAACCACGGATTGATGAATCACATGAATCTACATCAGTTCTCAAAATGGTAATTCCTGTTTATGATTCATTGGTTAGTAAACGTCATGTGAGTGTGCATCGTCGGGCAGCATCGTCATTAGGCATTTTGCCGTTTCCATTCTCGTCATTGTAAAATACCATTTTTGAAATACATGAAAGCACACCAGTAAAAGTGTTCAACGGTTATTTTGTCAAATTAATTTTTTTATATATGTATGTCGTACCTAAAGATGTTAAATTGTTCATGTTATCTCGGCACTCGATAAGATTTTAGCGTATTTTGTTTGTGAAATAAACATATGAATTTTTCTGCTTTAATATTATTCAATCTTTTGACTTAAATTTGTAACAAACTGTATAGAGGCTATTTGTCTTTTTGTTTTCTAAAATTTAGGATATTTTTACTGTAGTTTTAGTTTTAGTTTGAAGAGTAAAGTTTTCTAAAAGTATGAAGAAATCAATTATTTTATAGTAATACTCCAGTCATGTGTAAATTTTGAATGAATTCATCTTTTATATAAATGTAATAAACTATTGATCATGTTCCAAAACACACGTGATGATTTTCTGTTTTCTTTTTTGTTAAAGCTTATTTTCATGGTTATTTTTTGGCAAAAAATAGTATTTGAACTTGTTAGTAAATCTGTTAAACTTCACATTATTTACATATCTCTCCTAGAGTTCCGTTGAACGTAATGACGACTGTATAAACTCTAATAAATTTCAGTATATGATCTCTTACAGTCAACGGTGGTGTGGATTATAAACATTTGTATGATCCTCAACCTTCCTTCTGACATATAACTGTGCACTGCCGCTCATTTCGTGTCCGAGACCACTTTTGCATATTTTCCTTTTTACGTATATTTTACAAGAGGATAAATAAAGGTACCTAGATTTATACATGTGTTTAAAAATCACCATACGGTGTAATCTAACTAAAGAAAAAGTAGGGAAAAATTAAATCATTTAAGTAAAAGGTAGCCGTTTTCAGAAAAAGAACAAACAAGTCTGCGACATGGAAGCCAATAATCTCCGCCTGAACAAGCTATTTTGAACAAAATATAGAACGGAATGTCATCAACATTCCCTAAATAAGTAGTTTTGATAAATAAAACAAACTAGTTTTCGACATGAAAGCCATCATCACCGCCTGAACAAAGCCGTCTTGACAAAAGAAAAACCAGAAAAAAGTATGCGATATTGATGCCATTATCTCCGCCTGAACAAGCGGAAATAAAGAATGGAACGAAGGCTGCGACATGGACGCTATCACTTCTGCCTGAATAAATCTGTCCTGAGAAAAAATAAAGAATAGAAAAAAGGCTGCGATATTGATGCCATTATCTCCGCCTGAACAAGCGGAAATAAAGAATGGAACGAAGGCTGCGACATGGACGCTATCACTTCTGCCTGAATAAATCTGTCCTGAGAAAAATAAAGAATAGAAAAAAGGCTACGACAAGAATATGATCACCTCCGCTTGAACAAAATCACTGGTATCACTTCACTGTCACCCCTTTGCTTATTTGTAGCACATATTGGTGGCTTGTAATATTTCGTTGTGAAAACTTTGATTTGTGCTCTTGAGGTCAAGATGCATTTTCTATTTTCTTGTATCAAAATTACAATTTCATGTAATAAATTGATAACGAAAGTGTTAAAACTTACCCTGAAAATATACACTCACAGTTAGTCAAAACAGGAGTAAAAAGAATAAAAAATCAAGATGTTTCATTTCATGTGAAAGTCTAAGATACATTTCACAAAATTCATGAAAGTGTCATGGGTGACATATCGGATTTCAAATAATATGCATATAATTATTTTACGGATTGCATGTACATAATTACATTGAAAAGAAACAAAAAAAAAAGAATAAAGAAATTAAAATTCTTATATTTAACACCATTTGCAGGTTGCTGATCTCCATATCAAAGCATAAATGTACAGTGGCTACAATGATTTCAATCTTATTTATCGGTCCCAAAACAATAAAATGTAAAATGAAATTATATAGAAACTAGACGTTTGAGTGGAAAGTGAGATAATTCTGTATTTCTGGTTCCACCTCTTCAGTTGAGTTCAGCAAGCTGTGAGAAATATGATCCAGATGGGTTGGAGGGAGTGGAAGGAAATATCCACAGTCATCTATGACAAAAGGTTACCAAAGGAACCGAAAGCTAAAGTGTATACGACCGTGATTAGACCAGTGCTCCTCTACGAAGGTGAGATCTGGATCCTGAAGAAGAAAGATGAAGACTTGATGATAAGAACAGACATGAGAATGCTGAGATGGCTGTTGCGAGTGTCGCTCAAAGACAAGCGAAGGAATAAGGAAATGGTAGGAGTCTGTAAAACGGAGAAGGCAGGAGAAGCGAGACTGAGGTGGTTCAGTCACGTGATGAGAAGGAGAAACAACAAGCAAAGCATTAGAGTTACCAGTAGCCATTAAGAGAAGGTCATTAAAGCGTGCGAAAGATGTGATAAAAGAAGACGTAAACGAAAAAAGGAATTATAGAATCCCTGGCAATGAATAAAGGTGATTGGATGAAGGGAACACGTGAGAAGGAAGGCGACCCGAAGAAGAAGTGTTGAGTACTAAGTGACAATCCCAGAGGTTGCTCTGACTGTTGCTAATACCTCGTGGAGTCTTCGATACCCATGGTGAGTACAGCACACATATAGTCCATTGTGTAGTTTTATGCTTAACTACAAACACACAAAGCGTTAACCTTGCATGGCCTGGAACATGCATCCAGATGATGATATTTTCAAACGCGTCTAATGGACGATATTGGAGAAAATATATTTTCGGTTCTTTTAGTAATATCGCCATACTTAAGTTTAGAAATGCTTGAAGGTTAAATCATCCCTATTTTCACTTGGGATAACCCGTTACGTATATAGCATCAGCGCTCTGAGAGAGAGAGAGGTAACGATATTATTTATGTATATGTAATGTCACAGAATCTCGATCTTAATCAGTTCGGAATATTTTGAAGCACCGTCCGACGTCTTGTGCACTTATCTATTTTTGACTTGTTGTTTTTAAATAAAGATTGTTTTTACTGTGTTCAGTCTCTTTACTGGAAATCACTACAATCAATATTTCAGTTTTAACTCTGCAATTTTTTTCCTGTTCGAACCTCTTATCATTTCTGGCATTACTCTTACCGGTAGGCCCGGCATGGCCAGGTGGATAAGGCGCCCGACTCACAATCTGAGGGTCGCGGGTTCGAATCCGCATCCCTCCAAACATGCTCGCCCTTTCAGCCGTGGGGGCGTTATAATGTGACGGTCAATCCCACTATTTGTTGGTAAAAGAGTAGCCCAAGAGTTGGCGGTGGGTGGTGATGACTAGATGCCTTCCCTCTAATCTTACACTGCTAAATTAGGGAAGGCTAGCGCAGATAGCCCTCGTGTAGCTTTGCGCGAAATTCCAAAACAAACAAACAAATCTTACCGGTAAGTAACCCATGGACTTGAGAATACCCAACTAGGAACTTTGTGCTGTAGTATAGAGGGCTTTCTCCCGACACTGACTAAATGTCATAGACTTGGGACAATAATTTAAAAAATAGGGCGATTACATTTTTTTACCATGCAGATTTTCGTATTGGATCTTGTGGCTCAAATTAATGTTATTTCATATATAAAGTCGTTTTTAATTGCCCAGGGTTCAGAAGTTTAGATTGTTGCCTTTTTTGTGGTTTAAGAATTAAGAACTAGTAACAATTTATCGAGTAATTTCCCGCTGAAAACTGGACACTTGCATTAATGATTAAAATGACAACAATCGTCAAATATTTTGTCAAGTTTTCTCATCATAATAAATATCTGAATTTTTTTTTTTAATTTTCACTTTTAATGGAATTATTAATGGTGATGTCTTCATTATTGCAAACGTTTCTGCCTCTGGTTATATTTTATTTTTCACCTAATCTGTGTTTAGGTTCTCATGAATATAATTTAAACACTTTTTATGTGAACTAACAATAGTGAAATAGATCCCTTGCATCTGTTACATTTTTGGTACGTATTTTCTTCTTCTTCTTTTTTTTTTTGTAGTAGGCTATCGAAGTCTGATTTTAATGCTATACTAGTTTGAAATGTTGTTAATAGATGGCACCACTAAACTTGCTAAATAATAAAACTTAAAACCTTTACTATCTAAAATACATTTATCTTTTGGGAATAGGTATATCTATTTCGATTCATAATTGGGATAAACTAGTACGTATGCAATTATTCAACACTGCAAGAATGTAATAAATGATTTCTATTGTTTGGTAAAATGATCAGTTATTGTGAGTTAGAATTATTTCTCTGATAATCTTAAGGAAGATATTTCAGCAGTTATAATACAATCTTAAAGCAATAGACTGTTTTATCTAGCAACTAGATTGACTCGTACAATAGTCTTGTATGCAGTTTCAGCTCTGATGAAAAATTAGTTTACGCTATCAGCAGGTGTACATGTTTTCTGTGTAAAATATCGACTAAAAGGAAAATATTTCTGCAACGAATACCTTCCCTTGAATAGCGAGAAAATATGAAATAAACGCCATGTAATGACATTCCAAATTATTTGGAATTTTTTCCTATATTAAAAAGTACGGATCAGTTCAGATGTTATCTAATGGTTGGCGTACTGGATTGATTATCGTAGGGTCCAAGGTTTGAGTCGTAATACCGCGGAGCACGTTCCGCACTTATTGTTGTCGGTGCGTTATAAAAGTGAAAGTAATTTCCCTTTATTGGTTCAAAGAGTTCACAAATACTTTCTAGATGATCAATGCTGTTGAATGACTGCTCTACCATTTGTTAGTAGTTCAAAATTAGGGACAACTATACCTGGACCCTAAGAGTCTATCTTGGCGGTTTATTTAGTCAATGTGTCGCATAAGACCTTGTTCAGGTTCAAATTCTAATTTCAAATGGTATTTTGAACTATTATTTACCTCATGTAAAATCTACTAAATTGCTCATCTATAACATTATATCTGGTTGTTAGTTACTATGCCAAAGAAAAAGTACAAATAACATCAGCTGTCATTTTTTTTTTACTTTTATTTACTGTTACGGAAACCTGGCACAAATATCAGAGAGCAACAGACTGGTTGTATAAAAGATCGAACTGAACTCTCAATAACATACAGTTTTTTAGTCACAATAAAAACCGATCCGTATATCTCTGAAATTAATAAAACGCACATTTGATTCCAACTTTCAGCTAATTAAATATTTAAATGTAAAATAAAATCGCTCGTATTGTTTTCAGCAAGCTATGGTTTTCATCAGAATGAGAGTGAGCGAGGAAGTATCGGTTCTTAATGGAAGTTCCAATCTTTGTTAAGATGTCTACATATTTTTTTCTAAATTGTTTGATTGCCAAACTTTGTTTAAAAAAATATCACATAGTCAGAACTAAACGTGATCTCGTAAAAATCAGGTTCTCACAAATAAATGTACAGAATAAGGAAACCGTTCCACGTTGTTAGTTCTCACAATATTACG